ATAAATAAATAAATAAATAAAATTTTGAAATAGAAGTTTTAGTGGAAATTGTGACAAACTCTGTGCTTAATTAGAACAAAGCAACAGAAAGCAGGGGGTGGCCTACTTCCGCAAGTAGGCAAGGACCTTTATTATCAGGCAGGCCTTTTCTCATTAATGAACACACACACACCGGACACAAGGTTGCTAAATATGTTTTATTTTATTTGTAAGCCTTCTTGGGTCCTCTGGAGAAGAAAGTCTGGGTACAAATGTTTTAAATAAATTAATAACTACAGTGGACCCTTGACTTACAGACGGCTTGACTTACAGACTTTTTGAGTTACAGACTTCTCTGGCCGCAAAATTTAGGTTTGACTTGCAGCCTGAGAATTGACTTACAGACCAGAAAAAAACCAAAATGGAACAAAAACGGCCTGTTACGGGATTAATCGGTTTTCAATGCACTGTAGGTCAATGGAGACTTGACTTACAGACTTTTTGACTTGAGAACCGCCTTCCAATACGGATTAAGTTCTCAAGTCAAGACCCCACTGTATCCAATCATGGTCAAAACAGACTCGTGTTTGGAATGTTGCACCAGGACTGGGAGGCGAGGGAAATAAATTTAGACACACACACCCTCCATCATGAAGCTCACTGGGCAGCTTCGGGCCAGTTGCGCTCTCAGCTTAAATTACTTCATGGGGTTTTTGTGAAAAGAAACTGGAGGACGGGATGAAGAATACTCTATGATATCCTATGAAGGAAAGCCTGGCTATAAATGTGGTTCCTTAAAGACAATTAAAATCTATACGATCAAGTGACTAAGATCGGAACAATAAAACGGGATGTGCAACCTGTTGGTAATGATTACCTTGTGAACTGCTCTGTGGCTTCACACAACCCAACACTTCTTATTTTTTTCATTCTTTTCCATGCCATTTGGATAGTAAAAGAGAATCTTCTTTTCTTCCTGAAGTAAGAAAAGCAAATAACACTGAACAAAATTGGTTATGACCGGCTAGAGGAAAACTCCCTTTTTTTCCATCCGAAACTAATCATTGCAGGTAATAAACACCACGATGTCAGAGTAGATGTTGTCTAGATGGGCAGGATATAAATCTAATAAATGAATAAGGCCAGTCGTTTCCTGACTTGAGGGGGGGGCATTAAGAGGAGGAATAAGCAGTCTGCAGATGTTTGGAACAACAACTTCCACCCGCCAGCTTAAGGTGGTAGACCAGGGATCAGGAGACTTGAGTTCGAATCATCAGCAGGACTCACTGTCACGTTGCACTGGTCACTCAACTCAAGTTTTTTTTTTCATTGAGTTAGACTCAGAATTTTTCTCCCTGGGGGGGAGGAAAGCTTGGTTTTAATAGGGGCTCAGGGGACTTGGTGCCAAAGACTTCAACTGAGAACTCCGACCCAAAGGACTTGCAAACGTCTCTGCGTCACGGGGTGATCTTGGGGCAGCCGGAACCTCTCTCTCCCAGGGTCGTCACCAGCGTAACGATGGGAAAGGCGCCGTCTCTGCTGTCTTCCTCTTTGGGAAAAAGATCCCATAACAATGAAACAAGTAAATGATAAATTCTCCTTTCTTGTTATCGTAGGCGTCCGCAGCGCAGACCCCAAAACAGGAAAGGAAACCCTGGACAACTTGGAAAGCCTGATCAACCAAGCCATCTTTCCTGGTCTTCAAGGCGCCCCCCCCAACCACGCCATTGCCGGTGAGCTGGCCACGGGAAAGTCTCTTTATTTCATATCCCAGCCGCTCGGGGTACAGGCTTGTGGCAAAGAGGCTTCGTACAGAGTTTGGAACAAATTCGTTAAGAATGTCTTTGATCCGCTTGTTGAAACGTCTTTTAAAAAGCATTATAACGGCCTTAAGAGATGAGGTTAATGTTAATAAAGTGGTGCCTTGCTTTACGATTGCCCCGCATTACAACAAAACCACTTAACGACGATCTTTTTGTGATCCCAATTGCGATCGCAAAATGATGGTCTGAAGGGGTAAATTTCGCTTTGCAATGATTGTTTCCCTGCTTCCGGAACCGATTCTTTGCAAAATGATGATTTTCCAACAGCTGATCGGCGGTTTCAAAATGGCCACTGGGTAAATAAAGTGGCTCCCTGCTTTGTTTAGGGACGGATTCCTTGCTGTACAGGCAGCAAAAATGGCCGCTCTATGGAGGATCTTTGCTGGATGGTGAGTTTTTACCCCATTGGAACGCATTGAACGGGTTTAAATGTGTTTAAATGGAGTTTTTTTATTTTTTGTTTAACAGCGATTTTCCTGGAACAGATTATCGCCATTAAGCGAGGCACCACTGTACTTCACGTTATTTCGATGTATTACCCAGGTGGGGGACAGTGTTGATTATTTTGCATACATTTAACTGTGCATTCCTTTATATTTAAAACTAACTTTAACTATGTGTTCCCCTAAATTTAAAATGAGCAGGTTACTAATGTCTCCTTCACGATCAGTGTAACAAACTACTGTATTGTAATCTCTGTCACTACTGTCAGTCATGTTGAATTAATGAGTGGATTAACGTTAATGGGAGGTCTAACGGCAACATTCCAGACTCCTAGCCGTGTGTACAGCCCCCTTGGATTAACGTTAATGGGAGTGAATTAGGTCTAACGTCAACATTCCAGACTCCTAGCCGTGTGTGCAGGCCCCCCCCCTTCTTCAAGGTCTTCCTCTTCGCATCCTTTTAAAGATCTCATGTTTTCTAGTTTGGGTGGGACATCAGTTCTCTCGGACTTTAATTTGGACATGCACGTGGTGCCCATAACAGCCCCCACAGCTTGCACACATACTGCCTGGAGAGTCGAGAAAGGCAGGCCCCTGGATCTGTCCCTCTCAGCAAATGAAGGGCAGGTCTTTTGCAAAGCTAATGGCTCTTAACTCTTCCTTTAAGACCAAACCACCCTCAGATATTCTGCATGGTCACCAGGACAGCTCTCAACAATAGGCTGGTCTTGGAAAAACCTGTTTCTCTCCCAGCTTCTGTGAGGGTTTGCAGCACAGCGCAGAGGGACGGAGATGCCCAGGGGTGGCAGGGAGACGATGAACCCTCCTTGCTCCTTGGAAAGTTTTGCAGATTCGGCAGGGATCCCCTGCTCCCTCCCTGTGTCCAGCTTGGGTGGATGGTGGGAAATCACACTAGCATTCTGGGCATCTCAGAAGTAAGAGCATACCTTAGCCTTTCCTGCCAGAAGAATATCTATGGAGATTGGGTCCCGTGACCTCTACAAGCATAGCTTTTTGCAATGACTGTTGCCTTTATGCTTCATATTCCTCGTTATTTTGTTAGCCGCTTCTGATTTTCTTTTGGGAGCAAGAAGCATGTCTTGTATAGATGTCTTTTGGCCCAGACTCTAGCCAGGGCAAGAATCTGAGAGCGGTTGAGTTGCAGGGACCCTGAAAGTCATCTAGCTGACACAAGAAAAACCCCCATTTTGTTTGGCTTTGCGCAGGCGGCTCGGACAATCATCTGATCCTGGTGGACGTCTGCAGCCAAGGCACCGACGGCGGGCGAGCTGAGTGGGTCCTGGAGCTTTGCTCCATCACGTACAACAAGAACACCTGCCCACGTAAGGCCAGGCAGGGGGTGGACGTAGCCCAGCATGCACAGGGTGGGGGCATATATCGTATAGCATATTCGATATGCATATTCCATCTCATCAAACTGCTTGGATGTAACTAAACTGTGGGGTTTCCCTACAGATCTTACCCATCTGTTAGCTTCAGGGAAGGTTTTGTGCTTTCTGCTATTATTGTGCCATACAGTGCTCTGCTCATCCCACGTTTCATAAAATTCTCATTATTCTTAGTCCAGTACTGAAAGGCGACCAAGCTGCTTTGAAGAGAGGATACCATGAGTCAGACATATTCGGTAAGCATAAGGGTTATTCTCAGAAGCAAGCACCCTCTCAGTAGATGCTCTTGGGAGGCGCCCAGGGTTGAGGGTTCAAGTCTCACCCACCCCTGTGCCTGCCACAAGAAGAGCCAGCCTGCCTAGCTTTGGACAAGGTGCAGAGTCCCAGGGCATCCCCAGAAGAAGGGAACGGGAACATGCCTCTTGATCCTTCATCACCCTTATCAGGAATTGCTGTAAGGCAGAATCCATCTGACAGCACATCATTAAATCACATGGTCACAGAAAGCCGGTTCTAGAAGAAGTGATCCCTCAAGCGGCAAAAAAGATCTAATTGTGAAAGCATATTTCAAAAAAAAAAGGAGCATATGCATCATCAGGATGGGTTTCCTTTTCACATCGAATCCCAGAGTCACAGCCAACAAAACAGATTGCAAAGTTGCTGGGGGAAGGGAATGTTGTAAGAGCAGGACCGATCAGTTCTCCGAATGTGAATATTCGCTCTGAGTTTCATTTCACACCCCTTTAACCGGGAAGAATCTGGCTGGATAGCTCAATAAAATTAGGTTATCTGGCTGCAGAGTCCGAAATGGGGAGTTACATTTCATTCCCCATTCCCACTGTAAACTAGAAAACCTGGAAGGGGTAGCTGTAATTCAGAATTGACTTGATGGCAGAAGGTTATGGATGATGAACTGGGAAGAGGGTCAGGCAGAAGAACCCATTAGCTGGGGTCTGTTCTCCAAGTGAAATCCATAATATTCCTGAGTGAGGAGCCCCTTCCTGTCTTTCCCTGTACCCTGGGCCAGGGAGCAGGACATCCAAAGGACCACAGCTGCTTCGTCCATGCCACGTGGCCTTCTAAAAGTCCGGCTTCCCCTTCATCTCCAGATAGCCAAGCTTCTCCTTGTCTTGCGCACCTGAAAGGCTCTGGGCGAGGCAGGATTGTTTTCTTAAATTTGCCTGATCTTGCAGGATGAGGATGAGCCAAAATCTGTGGACATGATTTACATGTTTACAAGCATTAGGCCATCGCCGTTGACAAGGAACATGTTGTCCATCTGACAAGTAAGAGCTTCGCTATTTGAAACAGTGAGGAAAACTGAGCGGGAAGGAAAACAGCCGTGGGGGGGTGGGGTGTGTGCAGAGAATACATTTAAAGAAAGGCCCGGTTTCTTCTTTCATGAGGGACGGATCCAAATGATTCCTCCCAATATTCCAGGTCAGGAACCAGGATGGCCAGTTCAGGAGATGACGTGAACGTCTCTCAGTATTCCGAAAAACTGAGTTTATGGGGTGCTGAAATGGTGAAGGAAGTTGCAGAGGGAAAAAAAGGGGTCCCGACTTATTCCGCCGTGGAGTCGGATGATTCGTACTTTAATTCTGTGTCTCTCGCTGTCCGAATACCCGTGGTGAAGAGAGGATTCCTTCCAGCCGGGACCTTTTGCATGACGGAATGAGCAAAGAAAGGCTGAGACAGGCTTGCTGAGGCAACAGGGCTCTGGCCGGAGGATTCCTTCCAGCCGGGACCTTTTGCACGACGGAAGGAGAAAGAAAGGCTGAGACGGGCTTCCTGGGGCAACAAGGCTCTGTCCAGCCATGGAAGACGAGGGAACCGGACGGAGCGGCTACCAGGCCGAACACCAGGGCCAAAACTGAGACGCTGTGTTGTGCTGGAGGGAATTCCCTCCCCCTGACGTACTGAATGACCCAAATGAGGAGAATAGGTGGGCACTTCAGAGAAGGGTGACCTCAACCTGCTGCTCGGTGGTTTTGATTTAGCTGTCGGCAGACGGAGCTTGGATACGTTCATGTTTTTGAATCAAAACTTTAGATGTTTGGCTGCACGGCCAGAGGTGGGGAGTTCAATTCCCTCCTGTGCCTCCCTGACAGGATCTGGACCCGGTGGTCCATAGGGTCCCTTCCAGCTCTGTGCGGGGGGGGGGGATCAAATTATCTCAATATCTTTGCCAGAGCTAGAGGCAGCTTAGCGGGTTTATGGGGGGGGAGAGAGGGGCCACTCTCAAGAGAAGGGGTGGTTTAGGATCCAGGTGG